CCACTTCAGTGACTGTCTTGTGATGTTTCCGCTGGGCTTTCGTAAGGTGTGTCCCATCCATCGCCACTTTCTTAGTCATATTTCTACTTCTATATCCTTTTGTCCTGTCCTTTTCCACAGCTCTTCATTTCTTATTCTATCCTGCCACTTAATTCTTAGAATACTCCTCATACATCTGTTGATAAAAGTCTGGACTTCATTCAGTACTGCCTTCGCTGTCTTCCATTATTATTATATTTTAATTATTAATAATATTATGATTATTATCTTTTTAGTATTAACTGTCACGTAATTCTGGTTTATTTTTATCGGTTATACTCATTTACATACGCGTAACTAATTATACTATAGCTTGATTCATATTAACTACTGTTTGTGACATACCCATGTGCACTAGTTGATTGAAAACATTCTACTAAAAAATATATAAGCATCTGTTTTTTCACTTATTGATCTTACAATTTATGCATTTTTAAAGAGCTTTTCTTGAAATCACGAAAGGTAGGTAATTAGGTTTTCCGCTTTCTCAATCCACCAAATCGAGTGTTTGAGGGATACATTAAGAGAGTTTGGGAGTGTGTTGTATTGGGCAGGGTTTTTTCAAATAAAAGGTCGTCTTCGCGCGATCAGCTCAATGTCCCTTTTGTGGTGGATTTGAGAGGGTAGGTGGTCATTGGGCTGTTGGCTGAGAGGGGAACTTGACAGCACCAAAATTGTTAACCAAACGGAAAAAAATAGTCTACATTGAAAACTGTATTTATTCATAAATGGCCTTCCTATCAAACATATATTGTTCTTATCTCTCTTCCTTCTTTTTGTCAAGTTATCATTTTTTCCCGTATGTTACTCTTTTGTGAAACATCTAATAATAGGCACTTAAATTACCTATTTGTGTTGCAAGTGCTGTGAAACTTCCACTAAAGCTAACAATTTATATTCTACTAGAAGTAGATTTATATTTCGTATAACGCATGAATGCATTTTTATTCCCAGACCTGTTAGATTTTGATCGTGAAAGTTAAGGGGTTAAGAAAAGTTGGAAATATGTATGATATTAAAATGTGAAAAATTGTAGACCGTGCGGTTTTGTTTTTTTGTTTTTTTTAAAGAATACAGACATAACATGTAGGGATTTTGGCTCCCCTTTATTTTCCTGAATTTCCCCATGAAAAGAAATTATTTGTTTCACGCCCCTTTTTAAGTATACATCTTCAAGTTTAGTTTGATAAGCATCCACAGCACCGAACCTGGTTTTATTGCGGCCCTGTGCTTCTCTGTTTCCCAAAGAAAGAAGACTCTAGTTTGATTCCCGTGTGGGTACAACTCTTATTGAGTATCTGGGTATGTCTGCTGGGATGTTGTCAATGACATGTGTATTCATCTTAGACTGCCTTCTCCCTCACAGGCAGGGTCGAAGCCTGCCGCCCAAATTATATAAAAAGCATCTACGGGGGCGGACAATTCTACATTAAAACATTTGCTTTCATTTATAGCATTCACAGCTCTTAGTGTACTTGAATAATACTTTTCTAAGATAGCTTTTTGCTGCTTCCAAATTGAAATCCATAATCATTTTGCTCCAAATTTCCCTAATGATCTAAAGAGTGAAATTGATACAGTTGTTTGTTCTAAGTCTAGCATAAACCTCTCTGTGAATTAAAAACAACTCTGTGTCAACGCTGGTCAGCAATAAGAACAAAAGCAACAGAACTTTTTGAATATTTTATTTTGTTTTCAATTTCAAGTTAAGAAGACAGCTTGCTTATAGGTGTATCGTGTTTCTACGAGGATAACGGTGACTCTATAACATTCTTGGGGTTTTAAAAAACTGATTATCTAAAACTAAAGCTGCCAATCTCAAAAGAGTCATTATGAATAATATAATATAGGATTCTCATTTTACAAGACTGGGTCACAAAGAATCTCTCATTTCAATTATTTTGCTTTATTCGAGCTTGCCGTCTCCGATTTTAGAGATGCATTTTCTCGTCCAAGATCTCAGACTTACCTCTTTCTCTTCCACAAATAGTATACATTATGTCTGTCTCTATATAT